GTCAGCGGAATAAAGAGGCCATCTTAGCCTCTCTTCCCTTACAGAACATCAGTTGCCAACTATTGTGGGCAACTGAGCATATCCAATAGCCAAAACAAAGCATTTTGTCTTATCTGAATGTATTTCCTCTTTTCTTCCATCTCTTTCACAGCAGCTCCTTCTTTTGGGGCAGCTGCCTGATAGTCAAAGTAGGCACCACAGGTTACATGAATCATAATAACAATGTGACTAACAGCTAAGCTACTTCCAGAGAGGACTATAGCAACCTTTCTACCAGCCCTGCTTTGACTTTAATGGCAGCTGAATATAGAGCAGAATGTAGAAATCTTGGTCTCCTTATCACTATTGCCCCACTTTTTCAATTGCTATCCCACAAGCAAGTGTATGTGTGTATGCAAAGGAGAAAGGGAAATAGGATTGCATATACACAAGTCCTCACCAACATGTGTAAGGGTTGTATTGCCTGCACAAAAACCAACAACAACCTAAGTGCTGGGCATGAAGAAGAGATGGCTGAAAAGAGGCATGATGGCCATGTATAAATATGTGAGGGGAAGTCATAGGGAGGAGGGAGCAAGCTTGTTTTTTGCTGCCATGGAGACTAGGTCACGGAACAATGGCTTCAAAGTACAAGACAGGAGATTCCACCTGAACGTTAGAAAGAAATTTCTAATTGTGAGAGCTGTTCAGCAGTGGAACTCTCTGCCCTGGAGTGTGGAGGGGGGCTCCTTCTTTGGAGGCTTTTAAACAGAGGCTGGATGGTCATCTGTCAGGAGTGCTTTGAATATGATTTTCCTGGTTCTTGGCATGGGGTTGGACTGGATGGCCCACGAGGTCTCTTCCAACTATATGAGTCTATGACGTGGAACCTCTGTATGCTCCTTTTTGTGGAAATTACAGCAGTCTTTGGGGATTCATTTAGGGTTGCCATATCCCAGTCCTTCAAACCAAATTATCACAATTATGTACATTCTAACCCATATTCTAATTATGCAAATTAATTAAATTTATTGTTGCATTTTTCAACCACTGATATTTCAGTCTTGGTGACCACTGCTCTGAAAAACCTATTATTATTCTTAAAATGTTGGACCTAGAATAGAGAGATTCAAATTAAGATCTGTACTTGGTCATGGATTTTCCTATATGATCTTGGGCCATCATTGCTTCTCAGCAAATCTCCTTTATTGGTAGTATTAATCTCCTATCTTGTTTCAGGATTATTAGAGAGGAAGAACCACATGAAGTGGACATTTGCAATCTCACTACAGCACAAATAAAACAACAAGAATATGATAATTTTGTCATGCACAGGCCCTTCCAGTAGTATTCTCATTAAACTAATTTTTTTGCCATCAGTACATGCCAATCTAATGTGACAGATCCACTTCCCAACTTAACGCACACCCAGTTTTACCTCATTCCAAAAGGACTTTATCTTTTCCTCCTAATTATTTGAATCTGCTCCTAGAAAAATGCTAAGATTAAAGCATCTACCTCAAACTCCTCTGATGCTCCGATCTCTCATACCATAGCTGTGTTACTACCTTGTGCCCTTCCTCTCCATTGTTTCAATCCTTTCTATTGCCAGACTTCTCCATCCATTTCAATTGCTCCACTGTTTACTGTGCAAATTTTGCATAGAAATATGCAAAACAGACCATAGCCAGACTTTCTCCCAAAAGTTACTTTCTTCAAAAACTGTAATATTGACACAAATTTGGGAGTGGGTGACTGAAGTTTATATAGTTAGTTATAAAGCTGTGCAAACTTCACTTACTAGCTAAACACACTGAAAGTTTTGCTTCTTAAAGACCCATTGAATTGTGATAACATTTTCCCATGTGTCTTGGCTTCTACAAGGGTTAATGTCTTCCTTCTTTTGCAAAATGAAAGCTTGGAGTTGAAGCCAAGTACTCATCTGGAAGGAGACACGGATATGCCTAGAATCCAGATGAAACCCAACCCACCAGGGACTATGATAACCATGTGTACATCCTAGGCAGAGGCGGCCCTAGGTAATTTTCATCGGTAAGCAAACAGTATTTTGCCCCCCCCACAACCAATCACTGATATATATTTTCTGTTCGTCGTGGGAGTTCTGTGTGCCATATTTGGTTCAATTCCATCATTGGCGGAGTTCAGAATGCTCTTTGATTGTAGGTGAACTATACATCCTAGTAACTACAACGTGCATATGTCAAGGTGTATATTCCCCCAAGAGTGCCTCAAGAGCACCCCTGGGCAAAATCAACTATACTGCAGATGCTTACTTTGCGTAATGGGTTGAGCCGCCCCTGATCCTAGGGTGAAGATGTCGCAACCCAGAGACTATGTGCATAACTATAAATTTCCTGATATGACACCATGGCTTATTAATCCTATATTTGCTGGTCAGTAACCACAATAAAGTTTTGATTTGCATTGTATTAATCCTATAATTTTTCTAAGCACCACTTTTTTTCATAATGAGCAAGATTCCAGATGTCTTATGAAGCAACAGCCAATGTTTGTGTCCACTACCAAGGAACTCTAGAGGCAAATAATGTACATGTTCTCCAAATTCTCCCTGGAAATACGCAATTTGTCCATTTATGCCTGAGAATCACTATAATTTAGTGGCTAAAATGTGGATAGGGAGCGGGAAAGTTCCCCTTTCACATCCTTCATATTTCTATTGTGGAGCCACTGATAATGCCATTTGAGTAACTGCATCTCAGTGTTTCATCTGGAATATGTGGGTCATATTACACTGTTACATGATTTTTGTTCCTGGGTTATAAATGTCATTTCTTAATTGGTTCTGTACTAAAAAGCATGGAAAAATGTATTAAACTTCAAAAATTTTGTTTTTGCGGGACATCCTGCAGCACATTTTGCTATAGTTTTTCAATGAAAATCTCATAGAGTCTCAAACAATTTAGCATAGCTTGTGGCAGCCACAAAAACAAAGTTTCTAGAATTTAACAACTACTTTCAAAGTACGTACTGCATAATTAAACAGGAAACAACACTTTCCATTTTTTTCAAATTTTGTTACCTAGTTCATGGTAGGCTTAAAAATTACTTAAGACATTCATTTTTCTGTGAACACATAGTGTTATGTATTCTTTTCTTTGGTTCCATTGAAAGAGAGAGAGTGGTTTGGTGGGTCAGTTAACCCCTTCCTTCTAGAGCAGTGGTTCTCAACCTGTGGATTCCCAGATGTTTTGGCCTACAACTCCCAGAAATCCCAGTCAGTTTACCAGCTAATAGGATTTCTGGGAGTTGAAGGATAAAACATCTTAGGACTCACTACTTCTTAAGCTGTGCATCCCGACCCTAAATGGAGTCCCCTGAGCTCAATGCTGAGGTCCCAAAAAAGCTTATGAGACATCACCTAGTGGCTGTTTTAGATAATGTAGCCTCTGCAGAAAATACCTCAGCTGTACTTCATTAAAAGAAAAATCACCCTGTTTTAGCAGGCCTTGCAAACGCTGATTTATTATTGGTAAAAGTTTGATTTCTATACCTGTTCTATATACCTACATTTGCAAGATCACTAAAAAAATCTCATGCCAAAAGGGGTCACTTGTAGAAAAGTTGAAGAAACCCTGCTCTAAAATTAACAAAACTTTCCCCAGAATAGCGCATCTGCCCAGGAGGTGAAGACAGACTTTTCTTATGATGTGTTTAACCTTCCTTACTGAGACTGTCCACAGCATTTTGCCTAATTCATGACACTTTGCACAAAAATGCTAAGGATAAGCAGCAAGACTCCAACCTATTCCTCCTCTACCTGAGCTGGTAGAACATTTGTGGCATCACCAAGCCAGAGGTTGTACAGTACTACTTGATTTTTCATTTCACTTCATGTCATTATAAAAAGCACAGGGAATGCCCAAATTCTTTCTACTGAGCTCAAGGAGTATACAGTGTTCCCCCACCTGTTGGTGGTTCGCCTATTGCGGACTCGCTGTTTCGTGGGTTTCCCCCCCATTGGGGGAGGGGGGAGAAGAGGAGGATGAAGAGGTGGAGGAGGAGGGGAGAGGGAGCCAGGTGCTGGCAAATGGTGGGGCTGGAGGATGCCAGAGTCCCAGGAGGTGGTGGGGCCATGCTCCCTTCGGGTTCTTCTTCTCATCCAGCTTGGGCTTCCCAAGGGGCCTCCAAGGAAGAGGAGGAGGAAGAGGTGGTGGAGGAGAAGAAGAGCGCCCCCGAGCATTTGCAGCAGGCAGCGACAGCGCAGCAGCAGCAACTCCCTGCTCTTCCTCCTCCTCTTCCTTGGAGGCCCCTTGGCAATGGTGTCAACGGGCCCAAGGGGCCTCCGAGGAAGAGGAAGGAGGGAGTTGCTGCTACTGCCTGCTGCAAGTGCTTCGGGGCGCTCTTGTTATTATTATTCTCTCTTCTTCTCATCCAGCCTGGGCTTCCCAAGGGGCCTCTGAGGAAGAGGAAGAGGTGGAGAAGAAGGAGAAGGAGAAGAAGAGTGTCCCCGAGCAATTGCAGCAGGCGGTGACAGTGCAGCAGCAGCAACTCCCTCCTCCTCCGCCTCTTCCTCCTCCTTTTCCTCAGAGGCCCCTTGGACGCCGTTGTAGGGAAGCCCAGGCCCAATGTAGGGCCTGGGCTTCCCTACATCATGGATTTTCACTTCTAACGGGTGGTTCAGAAACCTGCACGATAAGTGAGGGAACACTGTATGGTAATATATTTGTGATGGAAATCAAGCCTTATGATGAAACAGGCCACCACCTTGAGGCAGTGACATTTAGTCTTCTAGAACTGGAAGGTTAGCACTTCTAGCATGGTTTCAAAATACATTTGTGCTGCACATAATCATCTTAAGGAAATGTTACACAGAGTTTTTGCAGAAATGTGTACACATGTGTTGAATCCAAATGAAATTTTTATACCATTTATTTCTCTAACACCATGTGTGAGACTCCAACTATTCACATCCTTAAAATTCCCAGGACATCAATTGTGTGCCTAGCAAAAGTCTTTTGTTTGGCTCCAACAAGTCTTACCTTGAATTCACTGGGCACAATGAGCTTGGGAGTGTCTAATCCAAGAGCAGCATCGATCCCACAGAAGATAAGAATGGCCAGGATAATGGAGAAATCACCCACCAGCCTTCTCAACTGAAGTATAAAGAGAGAGAAAACATAATAATTTTCCAAGTAGAGTCTTTACATACATATACACTACTCACAATTTGTCTTTACATCTCTGTTAATAAATATTAGAAGAGGAAAAATAAACCAGTAATCTTGTAATCCTAAAAGTGTATGTGCTTATTGCCTCTGAATAAAAAAACAACAACAACAACATTTTTGGCATTTGGCAGAACATGTAGTGCTTTCAATGCCGATCTAGGATACTGACCAGGGTTTGAATGCTGGTTCAGTCATAGAAACCAACAGGTGAACTTGAGCAAGTTTTTTTTTTTTTGTCGTGTCAAGAGTGACTTGAGAAACAATCAAATCATCTGGGCGTCCCCTGGGCAACGTCCGTGCAGACGGCCAATTATCTCACACCAGAAGTGACTTGCGACCTTGAGCAAGTCATACGCTCTCAAACTCAGTGGAAGAAATGGAAAATTCCCTTAGAATAATTCCTGTGAAGATAACCTCATCAGACGGGGTAAAAATCAGCAGCATACACCTATCCCTCTTCGGTTTTGTGACAGAGCCCACTGGCTCCCATCCTGTGACGTACATCTACTTCTGGTGGGGCTCTTTTGCAAAAATAAAGAGGAACTAGCATATGTTGCTTCCCCCCATGGGATGGGGCCTGGGGTAAGTCAGGCAATTCAGGGCATAGGGCGACATTCTCCACACACCAGGCACCACTGAATTCGCCATGATCCATGACAATTCCAGCAGCACATATGATGAGGTCCTTGGACTGTGACTCTGAACCCACTGRGTAACTTTAGGCAAGTCACACTCTCAGTCTCAGAGGGAGAGAAAGSCAAATCCTTTTTGAATAAATCTTGATGAGAAGACTCTGTGAYAGGGTTGCCTTAARGTCTATAGTTTGGCCTCCCAACAYGAACCTCTGCTTAAAAAGTTTGAGGACCYYTGTTCTAACCATTTGYCARTTTCAATCTTTAAAAAAATTCCTTTGCCACTTTTGGCTTTTTGGCCTTACATTCCCACTAGTTTTGCATGTGGAGAAYCMCCTTTTTGCATAGTAAAGGTAAAGGTTTTCCCCTGACATTAAGTCCAGTTGTGTCTGACTCTGGRGGTTGGTGCTTATCTCCATTTCTAAGCCGAAGAGCCAGTGTTGTCCRTAGATGCCTCCAAGGTCATGTGGYCAGCATGACTTCATGKYGCACTCTTATCTTCCCGCCAGAGCAGTACCTACYTATTGATCTACTCACATTTKCATGTTTTCAAATTGCTAGGTTGGCAGAARCTGGGGCTAACAGCAGGAGCTCAYGCCGYTCCCYAGATTCGAACCTGTGATCTTTCGRTCAGCAAGTTCAGCAYCTCAGYGYTTTARCCCACTGYRCCACYAGGGGCATAAGTTTCAATTTATAATTGCAGCCACTTTTAGGGGAGATAGGGTGGTATRTAAAWAAAAWGTTGTTGTTMTTRTTATTATTATCATGGAGCAAATAGTTGTTGCACTTGTTGCTATTTCTCCCTGTGAGAAAGCATGAGCATGAACCAGTGTGGAGAGATGACAAGCAGATCAGGAATGCAGGAATGCAAAAAATCCTTTCATTGTTTGCTTTTGGGCATTTTCCCCAAATTCCCATTTCTAATATGTAGGTGGCTCACAATAATAAAATAGATATTAAAATAATACCTATGGGTGTACCTGTATTTGTCCATTGAACCACAAAACAACAACCAACCAACAAATGTGGACTGTTGTGTCTTGTGGCAGTTTTAAAGACGAGCACATTTATTAGGGTCAAAAAAGGTTTATCCAACAATATTCTTTGTTTTCTATTTTTTTAAAAATATAAAAATTGCCTCTGTGACAAACAGCAAATAGATGGGCGGGGGAGGTACTCAGTACTCACAGTTGTGGGGAAATAGCGGCTTGACTTGAAGTTCTTCAGGATGAGGGAGCAGAGGAAGGTCCCTAGGAACAGAATGAAGGACATGAAGGTGACGTCAGGCACAAAACTGCAGCTGTTGCCCGCCAGGTGGCCTCCGAGTTGCACACATTGTTTCTTGGTCAGCAGGGACCAGTTCCCAGGCTCCAAGTCCAAGGGCTGTGGCGAAAGAAAGGAAGGAAGAAATGCCAGAGAATTAGCAAGAATGCACTGCCGGCCTGAAGGAAACGAGGGGGAAATTGTTGTGACAGAATACGATACTGTGAGCCAAGACAGAATAGGGTAAACAAGTTTTGTGAAACTGGTTCAGATGGAATGAGTGATACGTTTTAAGAGCTAGTTCGTGTTTTTCTTCCTAGGGGAGAGCCAAGCTTTTATATATGCTGAAACTCCCTGTGTCCTTGGAGATGAGAGGAGGATGTCAGGAGCCCAACATGAGGAGGAAGAAGGGTGAAGGCACAGCACCACCTGATATTATAACTTGGTTGCTTTTCTGGAGAACTTCTCTGCCAGGCAAGCTTGACACTCATAAAACACATGCCAGACCACACCAGGACAGAGAAAGAGGAATATAGGCAATCCCCAAGTTATAAACAATATAAGTTCTGTAGGGGCCCTTCCAGACAGGCCCTATATTCCAGGGTCTGATCCCAGGTTTTCTGAATTAAACTGGATTACATGAGTCCACACTGCCAGATAAT